AATTAATAATCTTCCTTTCCCTGGAAGGAAGTTCGTTTGCCCGCTCTCTCTTCTCGAGGCAAACGTCCGGCTTTTGTAAATTTTCGCCGGTTAGCCATAACAGAGGGGCGCGGCCGACTTTAATCGCCTCGTGATGGATTCGAACGATCGTGCGACAAAGTAGCGAACCGTGTATCATTTTATACGAGCAAGGAGAGGGAAGGAGATTGTATAATCTTTCCCCTTGCCAACTTGCCGCCTAGAAATCTGTTGTATTTACGCGTGTGCACACGCGCAAAACGGCGAGTTTACGATCGATCTGTCACGTCGCGGGCGACTGGTAATAAAGTTGTGATGTGGAACCGACTGTCAACCAACCTCGCCAAACTTATTCGCGACACGTCGCGAATATCTCTCTCTCTCTCTCTCTCTCTCTCTTTCGTAGGAGATTTCGGCATTCTCGAGAGTACGTAGTAGTAAAAAAGTAATTTGATCAGTTTGAGAATGAAATTGAAAATTGACAATGAAACTTAGATCTGAGAATAAGAAAACTTTCAGAGAATTGTTGGGTGAATAATTTTCGGAGGATCGATAGTTAAAAAAAGGGTAAAAAGAGAAGAAAAAGAGAAGGAGAGACCCGTGTATGAAACCACATATATTCTGCCCGACCACGAAAAAGGGCGGAGGCGGATGGGAGACGGATGAAAGGGGCCGCGGAAGGTTGGCGTGGCTTCGCGGTTGATTAAACCAAAAGCGAACCACGAGACACAGGTATCCTGCCTTCTAGCCGAGTGAACGCGTTCGTGCGAGTATCTTGCCAAGTAAAGATGGCGACTCCACCGAAATGGCTGCACCTTCTTTGTTGATAAAACGCGGGAAGTAAGCCCTCCCCCCCCAATACCTGCGAAACGTGTGCGTCGGCGATAGAGGTTTAGGAAGGGTGGCGTGGAAGGGGTTGGTGGTAACAGAGAGGGGAAAAAAAGAAGTTGGATATCACCCCTAGTTACGAGCGGTAACGAGGGGCGGAGTCGTTCGTGTCTCTCCGCACACCTGCCTCGTTTCGAACTGGCCATGGTCACTCAACCCTCTGTTCTTATCCCTGTTAAAGGCTACGCCATGACAAACGCGTTTACGGTAACCGCGGTGCGGTTGAAGGGTCGCGAGGAATGGTCGTTTCGGCGGGTTTTAATGGTTGATTTGGCCGTTGGACGCGCGTTCCTTCGAGGGGTGCGCGTTCCTTTTAAAAATGCCCGATCCTTCGAAATGATGTATGGGAAATTGGATCTCTTCTAGAATCTAGGTATCCCTAGATTCTAAAAAGGATTTTGCTGAAAAGTATGGCTATACGAG